CACTAATGTGACAATGCCTTATGAAATGTACTTTGAGATAAGGGTCCCAATAAATTGTACTGTGTTAAAGAGCTGCAACATCTGTAACATCTTCATATAGACTACACACATTCATATACTAAAAGGGTACAACCACAGAAATTCTTTAAGTTTCTTGCTCACAGGCAGTTGTTGAATACTATCTTTCCCAAAACTCTGCACCACCGCTCTTCTCGCCAGTTCCTGTAGGCTCTGCGGCACATCTCCACGATACGGCATACTCAGACTCTTTTTAGGGGATGCAATATAGTATCCTAGCAGGCCAAAAAGGCAAGAGAAAGTATGTTTACTGCCCGCTAAACTGAAACCTCCATCCTTTATGAGCACTCGCACACTGGTCGGGCCCTCAGGAGCCCGATAGCTGAGAGTGAAGAAAACATTCGCCTGCATGCTGTCCCGGATCAGGAATGTCCCAAGAGGAAGTCTGGCCAGTCGTACATGTGCTTCATCTACTTCCAAGGGACCCCAGTAAAATCCACTGTGGTTCAGGTAATCCACAGCCTGGGTGATGAGTTCACATTCCTTCTGGTCCCGGAAGGGGTGAAAGTGTGTTGATGGGACAGAAGAGGGTTTGGGGCACTCGGCCGTCTTGGATGGGCTCTGTCGCGCAACTGTATGGTCAGTGTCATTATGCTGGACCATTCTGAATCAGGGCCCACTCATACCATTCCTCCATGGTCCCAAAGCATGGATGAATGATTCTGTGCCGCCTGTTCACAGAAACAGAGAGTTCTAACATCAAGAGGTGGAAACAGCTCTTGCCTGGACACATTCTAGAAAGTCTGTGAGTGTGTGAGAAAGTGATTGAGTGTGTGTGAGAAAACATGTTGATTTCAAGTTTGCTCAGCTTTAATTAAATTCTTCACTACAAAACAGAGAGCTTACCATTCATATAAATATGATGCTCAAAAAAAAAAGTTTGTTTTAAAATATTATTAATATATGCTTTTGTGCAGAAAATTAAAGTCAGTGTGGTACAAGATGCTATTTTGTTGCCATGTGATAAGAAAACCATAAAACATAGAAGACACATTTTGTACAGGTCATATGGAGTAACCCTAAGAAAATAAAATTAATTATTAAAACAGCAACAACGAAACAACTAAAAATCATGTTTTAAAATCTGATGATTAAAAATAAACATTATATACACTGAGGGCTGTGTACTGTCTCAAAGTGCAAGTATTAGTAGCCTACTACTTGATGGTTATTGTTTACACCACCTTTTTTTTT